AGTATATGTCTGTATTGTTATATACAAGTTTTACATATTAGATATCTAACATTGTATTGTTATAAACAAGTTTTACATATTAGATATCTAACATTGTATTGTTATATACAAGTTTTACACATTATATATTTAACATTGTATTGTTATAAACAAGTTTTACATATTAGATATCTAACATTGTATTGTTATAAACAAGTTTTACATATTAGATATCTAACATTGTATTGTTATATACAAGTTTTACACATTATACATTTAACATTGTATTGTTATATACAAGTTTTACATATCAGATATCTAACATTGTATTGTTATATACAAGTTTTACATATTACATGTCAGGCAACAACTGTGTAACAGCATGTCAGGCAACAATTGTGTAACAGCATGTCAGGCAATGATTGTGTAACAGCATGTCAGGCAACGACTGTGTAACAGCATGTCAGGCAAAGATTGTATAACAGCATGTCAGGCAACAACTGTGTAAAAGCATGTAAAGCAACGACTTTGTAACAGCATGTCAGGCAACGACTGTGTAACATAATGTCAGGCAACAACTGTGTAACAGCATGTCAGGCAACAATTGTGTAACAGCATGTCAGGCAACAACTGTGTAACAGCATGTCAGGCAACGATTGTGTAACAGCATATCAGGCAACAATTGTGTAACAGCATGTCAGGCAACAATTGTGTAACAGCATGTCAGGCAACAATTGTGTAACAGTATGTCAGGCATTCCGTCATAGATGTCATGATTTTTTGAATGCTGCTGGAGTAGCAGTCACTTTCATTTCTAATGATTAAACACAGGTCGTGACTGATGGCTGTAAACTGTATGACGTCATCCAGCTATGTTGGAGATTAACTCTTTAGACACCAAACTTGACGACATTGAAGATTAGCATCTGTTTCACTATTTTAATGAAACTCCGCCCCATGTATGACGTCATCGCAAAACGTGTATATCAGTAGTTTCCTTGTTCCTAGATTTGAACTGATAGGCTAGTCACCAGCTAGTAGCATCCTTTTCTCTGACCGAACAGTGGGACCCGAACCATGATTCCACAGTACAGCACATTAACCTGGGATATGAAATATAAATACAGATTGGTATTGTCAGACAATAATTTTTAAACACAGGCTCTATTTATATATTCTCGCCGTAACGACCTTAATCCCAACTAGTCCCATAATTCTTAGAAGCCAAACATGTTCACACCCAGGTGGCGACCAAGAAGGACGAGTAAGGTTGAACAATGATGTTCACACCCAGGTGGCGACCAAGAAGGACGAGTAAGGTTGAACAATGATGTTCACACCCAGGTGGCGACCAAGTAGGACGAGTAAAGTTGAACAATGATGTTCACGCCCAGGTGGCGACCAAATAGGACGAGTAAGGTTGAACAATGATGTTCACACCCAGGTGGCGACCAAATAGGACGAGTAAGGTTGAACAATGATGTTCACACCTAGGTGGCGACCAAGAAGGACGAGTAAGGTTGAACAATGATTTGTACACATCTAATGTTTTATTTTCTCACCAAGACAAAACTAACACAAAACGTTATATTTTCTCACCAACACAAAACTAACACAAAATGTTTATTTTCTCACCAACACAAAACTAACATAAAATGTTATATTTTCTCACCAACACAAAACTAACACAAAATGTTTATTTTCTCACCAACACAAAACTAACACAAAATGTTTATTTTCTCACCAAGACAAAACTAACACAAAATGTTATATTTTCTCACCAAGACAAAACTAACATAAAATGTTTTATTTTCTCACCAAGACAAAACTAACACAAAATGTTTATTTTCTCACCAAGACAAATACTAACACAAAATGTTATATTTTCCCACCAACACAAAACTAACACAAAATGTTTATTTTCTCAACAAGACAAAACTAACACAAAATGTTATATTTTCTCACCAAGACAAAACTAACACAAAATGTTATATTTTCTCACCAAGACAAAACTAACACAAAATGTTTTATTTTCTCACCAAGACAAAACTAACACAAAATGTTATTATTTTCTCACCAATACAAAACTAACACAAAATGTTATATTTTCTCACCAAGACAAAACTACCACAAAATGTTTTATTTCTAAGCAACGCTTGCTTTGTCAATCAACGTAAATATTTGTAGTCATTAATAAAAATGAGCAAAAATAGCTCGTAGGGCGTTTCTAAGAAAGAAACTTGTTCAACATGGCTACACTGAATTAGGATTTTTTTTGTTGTTGTTTTTCATATATACTGTATATATATTTAGAAACATTCTGAACCGCGGGGTCTAAATATAGATTACTCGTTGTAAACAAGTACTTTAGTAATGAAGCATATTATGCTAAGATAATAAGTTGCCAAAGAACGATTTAAAAGCATAATAAAGTGATTTATTTTGGGGGAAACATACTACATGTTTCGACAGAACACTGGTCTGTCTTCTTCTGGTTATTATTCCGTTAACAACGGTTAGAAAACTCGTTGTAAAGCAAGCGAGAAATACTAGTTTGATTCCCTTCAGAATACTATATAATAAATAAAATATTACTCTGAAATTTTAGAACATTTTATAAGTGCAGCGACATCTGTTGCCATCATATTTAATTTGGAAAATTCAGTCCCGCCCTCTAGAAGCCGTGAACTGAACTTTATTTGTTAGTTATGAGCGACTGAAGTTATGTAGTTATATATCTATAAAATAATAAATATTATTTACTGCCCTTAGTGGACACTTTCTTTAAAATACAGCTCTTATTTTGTTGCCCCCTAGTGGCTAAAATCTAAAGTTCCTTTCTCGGTTTTTTACAGTTATATGAAAAAGAAGATGTAAAGTTACTAAATCTGACATCGCCCCTTTAGTGGCAAAAAAAAAAGGGGATTATTGTGGCAAGATTTTACCCGAACACACAAACAGCATATAATACAAAAGTCATGTTGATAATGATAAAATGTCCGACAATGAACTGACATACATAAATCAGATAACTATAAACAAATTCTTACGGTCGCTGT